TATTTGTCATCCCATTTATTTGTAATTTAGCATTTTAACGGTTTCGTTTTTTTACTATGTTCTGCACCCCAAACCCCCATCCTGGTATTATTATTATTATTATTGTTGTGGCGTTGGCACCATGCTTGTCAGCAAGCTGGTGTTATATATATATATATATATATATATATATATCCCGCGGGACAGGATTCGGCGATGGTCTGATAGACACAACAAAATGACCATAGGAAAATCGGAAATTTCAATGCATTTTTCGGCAGACCGCTTTCAACGACAGTTAACGCAACAGCAGAAGTGAATTGAAACTCATTCAAAACTGATCGAATCCTGGGCACATCGTTTCAACCTGCTTTACTGAATGCTTACCACTTCAATCACTGCATTCATTTATGCTTCTGAAGGTGATCACAGTTTCGAGACGTGGTTCAACTGCTGGGCAGACGAGCTTTAAACAGATTTCAGTTGTCGGCACGATTGAAAGCGCAGTCTCTTGTCCAGAGGCGTGGAACCAAAGAACAACCCGGACTTGGACTTCGACCATGAAGAAGCGCAGCTGTTAGAAATGTTTGGTGGTTCAACTTCATTGTCTAACGGGATGCAGAAAATTATATCATTCAATTGTGAGTTGGAACTGTTCAAATTTCGTTCGTTGACCGATGATTGGTTCAAGTACCTCGTTTTCATCAAAGCACTTTAGAATCCAGAAGCTGCCAACATTCGTAATCATACACAATCCAGAGTTGATTAGGACCCGGATGTGTATCTGAATTTTCCTATGTTGGAGTGCAAACTGCTCTCTCTTTGGAGTATAACACTCTGTTCGTCGACTTCCACAGCTGACTTCAATTCAATGCATTACACAAAGAATTAACCCTCAGTGACTTAATTCAAATTTGAAACACATAAGTTAGACGCCACCTATCTGTTTGTTCTTCGTGTGGCGAATGTCACTTGGTACGTTTGTCTGGAGAGCAAAGCTAGTAGAATATTGAACGGCATTGTGCTCGACAGGAGATACGTCAGTGACATGTTGATCATCATCCAAAGTGCCAGGGAGACCGAGTAGTTGTATTTACTTCATACGGATATCCAAATCACCATGGAAACTGAGCAAAAAACTCCCATTTCTAGATATTACTATTGGTCGAAGACCAGACGGAACTATTTCGAGATCAGTACATCGAAAATCCACGTGGACCGGATGGTATATGCACTTTGGGAGTTTTGCTCCAAATCCAATACAGACGAGGTCTCGTGCGTACCATTTTTGATCGAGTTATCATTATCATCGTACAGCGAGATACAGTGAAGCGAACTACACTGATCGCTGCGACGATCGAGTTAGGAGACTGTGTACCCCGAATAATGTGGAAAGTGAGCTAATTGGGCTCAGGGAAGCTCTAATGGTTATCCAGCGAGATTTATACTAAGGTACAGCGTAAAAGCCGAACCCAAGACCTCGAGGATGACAGCACCAAAATGCTTTCCCAATCAACTTCCGTGTTAAGTTGATGATGTAGGCCAACTTGTATGAAGACGACTGGTGACGATTGAAGACCGCACTTATTTTGATACACATCCGGTTGTTCGCTTCATCACAACCCAGATTCCGAAGCCCTTGGTGGAATCACCACTCCCTCTGTCCACCAGATTGCATGTAATCTATGAATTTCAATATTAGTGTGGAGCCATCTACATCGGCAGAACAGAGGCAGCGCTCACCCGAGTGGCAGAACACATACCACCATGGGTCGAACGCGAACGGATCAGGTTGAGGGCTACACAAACAACCAGTCCATCAAGCCAGCGGCACAGAACACCTGCGTCATCAACTGCTCGCCATCTGCTGCGGGACTTTTTCGGGTTGTTTACACGACCTTAAATGGACGGCTGTTAAGATTTTGCAGAGACTATAGCAATCAAGTGCGGAGAGCTTCTGTTGTGTCAGTCTGGCATTGCCCTGGTAACCACGTAAGCGGAAGAGTGATTTGATACTATGTTATATTATTAATGTCTGTGATATGTAAACTGTTTTGTATTTTGCAGTAAGCACCAGCTGAGATACAGTGAAATGATTCCGGAATTAAATCATGCCCGCTTGCAATGTTGTATTCTTTGTTCTAGTTTATTTCGGGAAATAGTTTAAACATGTTTAGAGCAGTTACTTCCTTAAACAGTCGATACCATTTGTAGAGTAGTCAAAAGAAAACTTAGACTTACCGCTCCAAAAGGAGTTTATTTAGGTGATTATTCCACATTGTTTTCTTCTTACAATGCGCTCTGTCCTCACGGAAGCATTTAAAACCATTAGTTCCAGCCAATGAGTCTTCACAATTTTAGTTGAGCTAGGCTTTTTGTTTACCACTTATTCATGTATTGCGGTAAATGTGCGAACCGGGGGTGGGGTAGAAGGAGGGGGCACATTAGATCCGTCATCTTTGCGGACAGCAACCGGAGGTTCGTGCTGATCACTGAGGATACAGTCAGCTTGGATGACCCCATCGCAAGTGTTCCCCCATACTCCTGTGATCGTTCTGCACTAAGTGGTTCGGGTTCTTTTTGCTCACACGTACTCCCAATTAACGACACGCATCCTTTCACCTTACTCTTTGATGCACTTGGTTTTCGAACGTCATGCACTCCGTGAAGGGTATTTTTTTTCTCTTAAGTGTCTGGTGATGCCGGTACTCAAAAGCTATGTTCCTCTGTAATTTACCATATGCGAACGTTGCGGTCCGTCAATGATGGATACATCATCATAGCCGCAAATCTTGAGTTGAATCTGCTCTTTTTTTGCTTGTGGCCGTTTTTTGTCACGAGAAGTGCTTGTATTTCACCGCGTCAGGGGCCTTCCGCAGTAGAACGTTTCCCCACCGCATCTGTTAATAATTTGCTTCTATACACGATTTTGTAGGTACCGATTAGGAACTTGCATGGCGTTATTCAAGGTTCATTTGTTCATATGACACCCACAAGGGAAATACAATTAGCACTTAAGGTAAGAATATCTGTCCACTGCCTCGAAGACTCCCGTTGTGTTTACAATACATCAGTAGACTTCAAATACTGAACCTGCTTCCAAATTGGTTTCCTTCTTTGTGCTTTTCCTTCTTGATATCATGCTTCAGTTAACGATATTGGGAACATCTCTATCTAGATAATGGTTGATAACCTGTATACGGTTCGTTGTAACATGTCTTTTTACTTCCTTATTTATTAAATAGACAAGTGTACAGTCAACTTTCAAGAAGGGGGCTGCGGCCATACAAAGGCTGCCTGGGGAAAATACAGAGATAGGGAAGACAGGCGGCGGTGGAGCGGCTCGAATCCGGGACTTCCGGGTCAAAATTTGGTGATCTGATCACTTGGCCACCACCGCCAAGGCTTATGAAATAGCATTAATAGGGAGCTTTGCTGTCGTCCGGTTCAATACTACCTAACCCCGCGGGGCCTTATGTGGTTCGCCATTCCAAGTCTCGGGATTTAGGTTACCGGTTTCCATCGCTGAACAGCAGGTTCTCGTGACTCTGTCTGCTACCTGGGTAATAAAAAGGTAGGGCTATCTGCATCAAATACAAATGATTGCAATGACTCATGTGGATATTTCGGGGGCCAAAGCAATCCCCACTGTTCTGTCGCATCAGCCTGTGACTGTAGTGAAACTTTTCTTTCGGAAAGAAGAAAACTGAAAGATGCCCTGCTTCATCCACTTGTATGTAAATAAACGCAGTATTGAAAACAAAATTGTGAATATTGGAAATACAAACGGATTTGACAAAATGGTGATTATCGAAATTGTCAACGCATTCCCATTTAGTGGCAGCCGCTTGTCGCTCTCCATATTGAAAAATGAAAATTAAGCTCGTAAGAAATTAAAACAGCCGTTGGAACTTTCGTGGGCTCTTGCCACGGAACTTTCCGCGCATCTATTTGAGCGTTGAATTTTTCGTTTGAATTGATTTTTTACAGCCTACCTACTAGATAGTTGACCAATACGATAGCCCGAGCGATACATCAACCAATGCATGGACCAGATTGGCTGGTTAGCGATCGATTCGGTAGCAGTACGAAAAGCACTGCCAAAATGTTGTTTCGCTTTCTACGTGTGTGTGCTTGTGTGTGTGTAACGCCATTGTACCGCTCCAAGGTCATCTAGCCCGTAGTCACGAAACAACCAATGACAGAATTTCACATGCTTTTCATTGATTGGCTAACATTATTTCGTCCTAGAGTATTCCAGAATATCTATTGACTGGCTTGTCTAATTACAATAGAAAAGAATTATAGGCTAGTTTGAGTTGCACATTATTCTGTGACTTTTCAATGTGCGTAATTATTGTGTGCTAAAGACGAATGCATCTTGTGCTTTGTGCTTCACTCAAACGATCGGATTTGATTGGTTGAATTCGCTGAAATATAAATGTAAGTGGGATCCTTGAGGAGTCCCAGACCGCACCGTGTTACTTCAACAGGGCCCTCTGGGCTAATTAAATCTTTCCAGGATGTTTCACGACTGATTTTCATGAGAGCAACTATAACAACTTGTAATCCGCAGTTTGCAGTTTTTCATTTGCAGCCTGTTCCGCAGATATGCCGCAATCGCCGATCTGAATGGGTTGACTCTATCTCATTAGCGTCAGGATTGACCAAACTGTTTTGTAAGAAAGAAACAATGGGTCCCTGAGGATGCTTGTGGATTGGTTGTCTCAGATTTACAGCAAAGGTGAATATCAGTAAGAGAGGAGATGAATCTTTGGGACGCTCAGGAACCTATCGGAAACGCACGACATAGACACTGATGGTTTGCTTCTCAGAGTCGCTTACCGTTTCCGAGACCATTATAGCTCATTTGTACTGTTTAAACTAAAGTAGTCCCTTCTCCGAAGTTGCATAATAATATCTTTACTGATTCTATCACCTATAATATAGCTTTTCTATGCCAACCTCACTTTCGTCCACCTCCTGGTAGACCTCATCTGATCCGACAATAAAGTCTTCTCTAGTTGATCGAGAAGGAATACGCATATCCGGTCAATATTTGCAACTACCCCTGAAGTCTTTTTCCTGTCGGCATCAAACGATCCGACTGAGATGTGGTCGAGCGACACCCCCAACCAATGTCGTCAAATCGGAGGCCACCGCGGATTCCACAATACACAACCCCCACCACCCATGCAATCCTGTAACTTCACCTTCAGGATCTGGGACCGTGCTAAATGTTAATCGGCTACGACCGTCGGCAGAACTGCTCATACGCATAGGTGCGTTTACCCCTCCGTTTTCTTTCTTATCTTCTGAATAGATGGTCGAAATGGCGGCCACTCATCAATGAAAATGTATTCCATGCGCCTCGCTTCGGTTTTATCTATTTTTTGCACCGCATGACTGCTTTACGCCCTGAGGCGCAGCTTTAAACATCTGATAATGATTATGGCGAATACCATGCATTTGCTATCAGCACCAGAAGTGTTTGATTTCATTTTATCATTTGTCGTGATCGGGGTTTATCATTTAATCTGCTTCTCCACTAATCTGTCAGTTCTGAATTACATGTCATGTCTTCACAGTGCGCGGAATTCCGAATAATGACCGACAAAGACCCTTTTTGCATTGAGGCCATTTAGATCAATGTCCAACTGATCGCAGTGTTTTGTTATCTCTTCCATGTCATCATTCATCGCTTATTAGATAGGCAGTGGTTTAGTCGCTGTCACAGGCGTGCTTTGGACCTTATTGTTCGAGGTTCGACCCCGCCGCCGCCACCCAGTTTTAGTGGTAAGTAGTTGTGCTGTCGTCCGGGAATTTTCGCACTTCATTGGACAGCTACCGCCCGCCCAAGCTGGGCAGCCCCCAGCCAATAATGTGCTGTCCCGTCCACGTCCNATTGGGTGCATGAGGCTAAGGGCCAATCCCGAAAAGCGGACCGATAATCAACGAACCAGCGAACAACAATCGTAACCGAGATTCAAAGTCCTTGCGTGACAAGTCTTCAGAAACTCCCACAAGGGTGCTTTGTTCA